ATTGATATCGCATGAAATTTGGAAGAGATCCTTTCTGGGTAGATAGTTTCCGAAAGTAGTATAGTTTTTTGCGTTATACGTCTGTATGAACTTTCCACGAGACATTAAAGAATGTGTTCAGTTATAGTTTTTCAGAAGAGTATGTCGATCCGGGTAAAGAAAGATAACTGCTGAGATGTTATGGGAAGTTGAAAGGAAGAAAATAAGAATTAAAAGGAATTGTGAAAGACTTTAAAGAAAAAGAGTACGCAGCGACATGTGGGAAGAATCAGCGGCTGGCACCGAATTATTTAAACTTTCACGTATAACTTTGGTGACATTTTCTTTTTTCTTTTTGTGGCAGTCGGCTGTTGTCTGTCCTCTAACTGTATTATATGAAAAATATATATCTAGCACTTGTTTGAATACAGTCTGTCTCCGCGATGTCTATGGTAAATATTCTCTCGGTCACATAAACGAAATTTGGAAAGAACTTTAGAAGTTCTTATATGTTGATTGACATTAAACGTGGGCCAAATCGGTCAAGCAATACCATTTACATACATAATAAGTGGCAATAATAAATATTCTATTTTTCATATATAGATGGTAAGTACAAAAGTCGAATATAATTTTCTTACCTGTTACAGCTTCTCTTAATGTTTTATTTCTCAAACATTAGTTTTTTTTCGCCACCGTAAATCCAGTCGTTTCCAAAGTGCAGGAAATTACAACAACAGTTGTCTTTGCTCTTTCATGCCTTCACCTAAGATCTCACTTGTCGAATGTCATGAAGTATGATCTTCTGAGGTTTTGTTTCGTCTGACACTAAAAGAATATTTTTCTTTATGACTCCTTGTATCGTTAGGCAATTCCTTTCCTGATCATACTACGTTATTTTAAGTGCCTGGATACTACATGTTTTGCTGGACAAAGCGATAAGAGCATACCTTCATATCGTTATCGAAAATCCCGTAGATTTATGACTGGCAAGAGCAAAAGGTAAGCTATCCTCATCAGAAGTATAGCAGAAAATGTGTGCAAGAAAAACATTCATCCTAACTCCGAGCGCAATTGACAATCCGAGACCGTTGACTTTGCGGACTATACAAGGAACCCCTCTCCGTTGAACGAGCTTCTTATACAGAGTCGTACATCTGGTCACACTATTAATTTCCTTGTATTATGTTCTCTTTACAATTTTCCCTTATTAAGCGTCCCCTTAGTTCAATATGATTTAATAAATGTCTTTTAACAACAGTGTTCACATCTCGTTTTGTTTCAAGTGGTAATACCATGAGACAAATTAAGAAATAAACGCACTAAGTTGTATAGAAACACAAATTGCTTTAGTTGAAATTAAAATACTCTTTCATTCACTTGTTACGCTCTCCCGCTTTCCCTTTTTAAAAGATGTGCTTGAGACGCATTATATACAACACATTCTAGGATATGGTTACGAGCATTAAAGTATTATCGGAAGGAAGGAAATTTGAATTATCTATGCATTGTAATTGATTCGTATATCATTACTAGCGATGGCTGTTTGGCGGTCATATACAAATATATATTAAGCTTATTACCAAAATTTCCTCTAAAATGAATGAAGCAAATTATATGCGGGTAAGTACTACATAGAATGCTGAAAAGTTATTTATACAAAATACAGAGTTCTTAATAATTGCTATCAAGAATTTGTAAATATGAGTTTCGCTAAGATTTTATTGCAAGTAGTTGAATGGACTTTATTCTAGAAAATTTATGTATTATTGACACAAGAAATGGAGAAGAAGAAAGCAATTTATGGAGTTTTTTTTTTTTTTTTTAATTTTCAGTATACTTTACGTGATTGCTCCGGCGCACGCATACATACATATAACGGATTCTAGTATAGCCTTATGTATGCTGATGAGAAACTTGCATTTACCAACGTTAACGATGAAGTTGCTTGACTTCGTTCTTAAGTTCCTTGTTTTCTCTTTCAATTAGCGTCTAGGTAAGTTCTTATTCCAACATTCTTATGTAAATAATGAGCGTAAACTTTTTGCAATGAAACGAATCTTGGATACTAATTGCTACAATAAACATCATTTTTCCACAATTGGTGGCTTGTCAATTGGCTGAACAACAACTTCCTGCATCAAAAGTTAGCTGATTGCTAGTTACCCGGTTTTTTTAGTTTTCCTTTTTCATTTGCAAATCCTTCGAAAATTTTATAAATTTATAAAAATCATATATACCCTTAGATACCCTTAAAATGAGTTCAATATATTAACTTGAATTTATTGTAAACTCGTTTCGATTTTTCGCAACATTTTCTAATATTAAAAAAAAGTGATTCTCTTCAAGTTACACTAAGCTGTTTCAAACTAATCAAAAAAGAAGGGAAAAACTGTCCATTACAAGTTTGTAAGCTGGCAAGTAACGGTTACTATGCTATTCATCCAAAATGATGAAAAAATTATTTCAGGGCATATAGAAAGATTATAATATTATAAGTTAAGATCTTCGCCTTATTTTGAAATGCTCGATAAAAAAAAAGACTTTGTAACGTTCTTGCAAACAAATGGCAAGATTGGCTATACAAATGATATCAAGATGACAGTTCATAAATAATGAAAAAAGAGAACAATGTCACGCTTGTTAAATTTCGCTATAACGTTTTAACGCCATTTCGTTCATGGAGATAGCTTGAAATTTCGATAATAAGTGCATGGTGTGCTCTGTTTGACCAGTCGCCAATGAATTCAATGAGATTCTTCAAAAAATTGATGAAGACTAGAAGTTTTCATCTTATAACATCATTGCGGCACTAAGCATTAGTTAAAGAATAATTTTGAACCATTCGCATAAGCTGGGTTATAAAACAAAATAAGACACTCGATTACCAAACGGTTAATATTTCAATGGAAGAAATTCGCATTTTTTGAATCGTGGTTTAAGTGCATAAAATCAAACCATTTTTGAAGAGAGAAATCGCATGCGACAATGATGCGCGAACCAGGTTGTGGTCTATAATGGATGATGCTGCACAAACTATGGCAAGCTCCGGGCTTATATTACGCATGATAATGCTCCATGCTTGGCATGGATAATGAGTTGTTCTAAACTGGCCAGAGGATTGAATCCACTCTTTCGAGTTCGCAACTATTTGCGATTAAGACGAGCAGTTGAAGTCAGTCATCTACAATTAGTTAACTGGAAAGGCATCGCCTTCTATCAACATTTCGCAAATATTGGGAAGACTTTAGATGGGAAATTTTGATACACTGAAAGTACGATTCGAACTTTCCTTCGTCCGATTACCGCTTATTTCGCTCTCTGCTCAGCTCCGTTGATAAAATAAAACTCAGACCAAAAGAGATTTATAAATCCCAAAAGCTATACATCGATGTCACAGTCATTTCGCTAGCGAAATGGCATATGTCTTAGGTCGAGAAAAGAATTTTGCTCTTTGTTAAAATAAATATGCGCCATTTTGTTCGATAAAATTATGTCAAATTCTGACTTTTAAGTCGTGCATGTATATGTGCATAACAGAAAAAAATATTTCATAAGAGGTACGAAGAAAATCTATAGTAAAGTGAAAACTGATTTAACTTGTCTTTGCTGACGTCAACAAAGCTCTCATACATTCTTATATATCATTTTATCAATTTAAGTTTAAATGACAAATGAAAATTACAACTAAGAGAAATAATTGCTTTTAAAATGTAAATAAAATAGTCTTCTTGTTTAAAAGCCAACTACGTTTAAATTTAAAAAAAATCAACCCTATTTTTGATAGAATAAATATTATATATTAAATATATGAAATTCTCTTCTGTTATGCCCTATACCAGCTGTGATAAGAATATGTTAAGCTTCTGGGGATGTACGTAACAATAGCAAGGAGTTAGATACATCTATGCGTTCGATTTAGAATCATGTTCTGAATCGATTTCAGCTCGTACACCCGTCTGTCCACCTGTTATTTTTATAACTATAACTCGCTATATTCTGCGGGACTGACACGCTTTGAAAGAAAAAATTCGTACATTAATGCGAAAATATTGGTACAGTAAATCCAAACGTAAACAGCAAACGCGTTATAAGGGGGATTACTGCGTATGAAATTTAAACGCCTTAGACGTCCAAGACTGTTTATCTCATTCTATCTTATTTCGACTAATAAAATTCTCTAACCTCCTCTGTCATAAGTTATTAAATTTGTTTGGCTATATAATGATCTATTTTTCGTGAGAGCCTTTTTATAACTAAAAATTACAAGTCACGGCTTAGTTCTTTAAAGAACGTTTATAAGGAAAGGACTCTCATCAAAACGAATTTTCATGCACGTAGCATACCAGCATGAAGAATAATTAGGTCTTGAACGAAGGAATTAAGTTTGCACAGCACATAGGAGTAATCACGCATTTATACGACAATTGACGAAAATTAATTTTTAGCGTTTCCAAGTTTGGATCAAGTAGATCCGCTCCTTTTATCCCTATTATTAAATTCTTAATTTTGGGTAATAGTAGGCGCAGTGTTGTAGGGTATGTCATAGCTGGCCTTGTTCGTTGTAACGTTTTCTTTAGCTTGCCCTTGCTTCTTATGCCTTTTGGATATAGTGAGCTTGATAGAGAAAATGTGTGGTTACAAAATCCGAAGGCAATTTCAATATGAGAATTTATATAAAATAATTCCATGAAATTAACATGAATGCAAAATTTTAAACGAGAGTGATGAACTGCTCTAAAAGCTACGCAAATGCAGGTATTGTTATGATGCTTGATATGTCAAAAACAAACGAAGCCATCGATAGACACATTATTTTTGAAATTCATGAACCAGCAGTTACCTTCTAACCAAATTGCGCAGCACGATAAAATGTATTTCTGTATAAGCAAACTAAGCATTTTAACGTCACCATGACTACAGATGGGTGTAAGGTAAACATTTCAAAGTAATCGATATGATAGTTAGCAAAAAAGTGTGCTGCGAGTAACTTACAAACTCGGTCTTAGTCAAAGAGCAAAATGGAGCAGATGAAGAATTCAAAGAAAAGCAGGAAGAAGGTGAAAGTTTCTAAAACAAGAAGTGCACGTAGCAAAACCAAGGAAGAATGGCAAGAAAAGAAACAAAGAATACAATTATCGCGCGTATATAAAGAAACTGAAAGAGAAGTAAGCTTGTTGTTGCAGCAAAGCAGTTTAATTAGTGAATCAAGTGACGGTGCAAGCAGATATAATGACGATGATCAGACACCAAGCGAAAAATTCTTTTGTGGTACAAGCAGTGAACAAGCTGAAAGTAGAGAAAGTAGAGAAGAAGAAAACAGTCAAGGTCTAACAAGTGCTGTAAATGAGTCGAGAGACGAAAATCTTAATATAGAATGGTCTAGCTCTGATAGAAATAGTCAGCCCACTTTAGCTTCTAGCTTCATACAAATTGATGAAGGCGAATGGAAGGAGGTAATTAAAGTGGAATGCTCCAAATTTGCTATAACAACGGAACAGTTTATTTACAAGCCTCAACTGGATTTCAATTTATTTGCGCCATTTTCAAAGAAACTTAGTATAAAGAGAAACTGCAAACTTATGCTGCAACGTTATAAGGAAGAAGCTAACTCACGAAACATTCGATTGTCAGCCGAAATAAAAAATGCCTTAGAGAATCCCTGCAATTTTGAGAAATTTTTTCGTTCCGAAACCTTGTACCGCACCTCATGTGACTTTCAATTCAATCCGGTTTTCATAGAACCTACTCGGGATCCGATAGAAATACCTACTAGAAAATTCTTTACTTTGTTCATTCGAAGCTTAAAGTTTAACGAACATCCCGACTTGAAGGAGGAGCATCGCGTGGCTAATGATTTGGAAATCTTACACGAACATTGGCGTCAACGTTTAGCGGAGAAAATCTGCGAAAGATTATATGCTGACTTACAAATTGAAAGGAATATTTTGCAGGAGTTGTTACGCTCAACTGCTGATAGTGCGCTAGATGACAAGGACAATAAGAAAGCGCAACGCATTGAGCATCATATGGTTAAGGTTCGTGATTTACGTGAAAAATACTACAATGAAGAGGCTATAAATAAACAATTGTTAAGAAGCATCTTGGACGATTGGCTTAAGCTTAAGAATATACGCCATGAGCAAGGTCAGCAATTCACCCGTTTGAAATTGCGTATAAAAATGGAAGAACTAACTGGCTCAGAGGTTAGAAGACGTCAAAATTTATGGCTAGAAAGATTTGAAATCGATTTAAATGAAATTTATCGTGAAGAGTTGGAAAAATACTATCAGAGTAAACGTTTGTGGCAAGAAAAGGATGGTCAGGGAGATTACTTTAGGAAACCTAAAAAACCGAATGTCAATCAAATCTCTGATAGACTTAAAGAAATCTATATGAAAAGTTTCTCTGACCCGCAAGAACCGCGTTTAGATGTGATACGTACTTCAACGAATGAGGCGAAATTTGCTGACTTACCTGGTCCCAGAAAATTACAAAGCTATTTTTTGTGCTTGTTTTTCGATAAACAAATCGTTGGCGAAACACTTACTTATCGCCTGGAAAGGGACCTGGGTATATATATGAATGAGAAGATACGTGTAGTGCTTGATCGGCGCTTGCCTAGAGATATAAAAATTAAGGTATCTGCCTTTAGTTGAACAATAATTTAATATTTTAATTTTTCTATTCTATTTTCTCAAGCTTATTGAAAAATCAAAAATGAACATCACTAAGAGCTTAGCAAATATTATTGTTCCGTTGCCTTTACCCTCCGCATTGGGTACAGAAAATCAATCCATGAATATAAGCTTCTCTTCACACAAATTACCCCTTTCCGGTTATTTGCGTTTGGATCTACAATGCGATGAGCAAGTATACACTGAGGATGTTGTTGATATCCTGTTCCCAAAACCTCAAGAACATATACAGATTCCTAAGCATATTTTGAAAGAGTGGTATGATAAGAAGTTTTTAACGAAGGACTATGAAACTGGAAAAGAAGCGAGCGGCAATCATTACTATGATGAGTACGATAGTGATCGTGATTCACCCTCGCCATCAGATACTTGCACTTTCCAAGAAACTTTATTGCAATTCTGTGATACGGCAGAATTGTACAATAATAAACGCTGGCAAATTCTGCATTCACGTTACCTAAAAGATGATCCTCGGACAAGAGATTTAAAATTTGTACCCATATTGGAGCACGAATTGTTTTTTGAATGGGAGGACAACGAAGAAGTTATAGATCAAGGTGACTGGATGGATCCGGTGGATTTGCATAAACACGAAGCCAAAAAGTATTTATATCAACTTTATACAGCTTTGTATAGTCAATGTAAAAGTGTTACTCACGTAGTCGAGAGTAGCGAGAATTTACTATTGAATGACGAGCCCATGAGTTGGGGGTATGCGAATGATGAAAATGAACATTTAGAAGTACTGCTTATTAACGATATTATATTAATTTTTTAGAGCTTTATTTCAAGCCATCAAGTCAATATTCCAGCCGAGACTATGCGTTAACGTCAGTCAGAACTTTTCGAGCACTTTAAGTACGCAAACGTTAAGCATGGATTCACCTCAAAATTTTAAGATAATCATTAACATTACTCGAGCCACCGGCATACCAGTACGGGTAACTAATAGTGGCGAAGAAAATTATCATAAAATCAAGGATAGAAATGGAGGCGCGAATGAGTTCTTCAGGCAACGTATGGAAATATTTCTCTCACTTTTAATCTTAGGATAATTTATTCAATAATTTGGTTTACAATTACAGATCTAAAGTATTCGAATGTACGGCCATTCATATCGGTTAGTTATAAAGATAAGTTATGTCGCACTTTAGCTGCGGAAGGTTCAAATCCCACCTGGAACGAACAGTTAACATTATCCATAGAGTATGAATTTAGTTGACGGTTTGCAAAATTATTTAGAAATTTTACTACCTTCCACTCTCTCCTTCAGTGGCAGTTTGTCGGAACTAAAAGCTGATATAAAGATTTCGTTATTTGATGAAGTTATAGAAAGCCATTATAATGACGATAATTCCGTGAAAAGTGTAGATATTTATCAAAGAATTCAAAACAATTGGTTGGGAGAATATCGACTACCAATACGCTGCTTATTAAAACAACAAAAGGTATTTAAGAAATATCACAATACACTTTTTAAATAATAAATCTTTTATCCCTCGAGAGGCCACCAAAGCTTAATTGCCTTTAGGCGAATGGTTCAGAAAAGAGTTTTTTTTTTTTTTTGAATTATGAACAAAATAGGTTGAGATTGTAGGAGATTGTAATGTTCTGGCGCTTTGATAGATACAGCAAACGATTTTCTTTGAAAAACCGAGCAAAACAAAGATGGTGGCAAAAAAAAAAAAAATGCTGGCCATTGGTATGACATTTGCTTAGACTGAAAACTGTTTATATTTGAGACCTTGTATCTCTACCGACCTTTGCTCAAAAAATAACAACAACTCGAGCGCGGTTAATGAAGAGGGCGTAATGTGGAGCAGAAACAAGCGAGCGTTCCCCCGCTTTTGCAAGCATCCAGGAAAGTTGCGTCAAACCTTTTAATATTCGGCCATTACACCATTTCACTAAAAGCAAATGGATTGGGTTAATAAATGTCTATCTCTGTCTCTTGCGTCTTTCCTAACGACTTAAAAGTTGAGAGAATTGCTTTTGAACGTTCTAATGTAGCTCGTGTGCACTACACAACAAGCTGCTATTTCAGATAAATTATTATTCGCAGACTACACTAAAAGTCGTTGAAGACGCTAATGAAAACCTTTTGATCAGGAAGCAAAAAAATAAACTTTTGCTGATGCTATTTTCAGAACGTAGATATGAAAATGTGCTCTAGGTTTTGATTTGCAAAAGCTTAAAATTTTTTAGAAAATCGATTATAACGGTTTCTTCAAATTCTTTTTCTATATATATGCAGTTTACTTATGTATAATTTCATATTATTTAGCTTGACGGTATCTTCGAGCTCACTATACCTCAAGTTATCGTGGGATATAAACGTCCTTCCTTAGGGAATTCGAGTTCAGAGGCCAATATTACGATCGATCAATTTCCTGAAATTAAAGATGCCGTATATCTTTGGTGCTATTTGCGTGTAGAACCCTGCTATGAATTGCCGGATATTAATACAAAATGTTTAGAGTGTTCAGAGCTAACGGAAGTGGAGCAATATCTTCGCAATTGGAGCATCGAGGCTAAACGGTTGCATACTGCCAGTTACCTAGATCCTATAATAGGTACAGCAAATGGTAAAGGTGTTTGCATGACAAGACTTTTACAGCCTTTGCCTCCTCCACGCTGGCAAAGTAACGATCATTCTATTGAAATTACTGCCCGGTTTGTTTCTTTATTATCATTGTTGAAATTATATGATCCATGTTTGCATTTAAATGGTATATGGCTTAATAATGAGGTATGTATGTATTTAAAAAAAATTGTTTTGTTTTTTCAATCTATTTCACTATTACTACAAATCAATTTAGGTCCTTTTGGATACCACTTGGGGTTCTGTTAAAGATCTGGGGGTGCTACTCTGTAATTATTTGCTCTATATGGGATTACGCTGTTGGTTGGTTTTGGGTTCAACGAACACTCAAGGAGAATCAGCTTTCGTTTTATATGAAACTGAAGAGGCGGCTGAATTAATTTTACTGGATCCTTATAGTGCGAAATCTTATGCAGTTAAAGAAATATTTTGTCCTCTGCAGACCATTAAAATGATTGTATCCACTAATAATGTTAGTGGGCTTCTTAGCTCATTGGTATGTGACATGTATTAATATGTTTCATCGTAACTTTTGTTTTCGAACAGATTTACTTAAATTTACAAACACATGCACGAGTATCGTTGATGAATTTTAATTTTAATGATACCTCATGCTGGTTGCCAATCTTTAGTAAGAAGAATCCCGCTCCTTTGGGTGGCTTTCAAAATAGCAATTACACATATCGTCCTTCGTATAATACGCGCGACTTGCGTTTAAATATTGAACATAAAATTATGAAGAAATTCCGCAGTTGGAGAGCGATGCGTAAAACAATTTGGAATCGGTCAGTAACATTTCAACACGTTTATTAATAAAAATTTGCTGAAAATATTTAAATCGGTTTAGAGCTTTCCAGCCATATCTCTTGGATATTCTACGTAATTTGGAACATAGTGTTTGCGCTGGTGATAGCTCCTATGACGAACTAAAATATAATAATAGTCTGGCTGCTGAATTTCCCAACTATAAGGTATTATTCTATATATATCAATATATCGGAAGCAGATATCTTTTCATATGAGTTCGATGGAAGACGAACATTTCATCAATATTGATTGAATTTTAGTGTAGTCTCGGTTTTATGCGATATCTTTTGTTATCCATTAGACCTTGTAAACTCTGCGGCATTCGTACAAAATAGTTCATCGGTATTTGTTACTCAGTTAAGTGTTAAACGAAACGTGTAAATTATTCTTTATTCAACCTGGTACATGCAACTACCATAAAAGAATGGAGTGCTCTGATAAAGTCATTTTATCGATTTTATTATTTCTCTCTTTTTTCTTTCGCCACACATGAAGAGTTCTCTGGCTACCATTATATTATGTGAAAATATACAAAATTGTACAGCATAACCTATGGGTGTAAACAGAAGAGTATATCAATTTTACCATGTTATAGGTGTGTGCACATACACACCCACATCTTAGAAGCCCTACAAGTGACATATATAGGTATTGATTAATAAGATTTGAAAGGAGAGCATATTGCTAAGCAGTCGTCGCCAGCCACAATTTTAAAAGAAGAAACAATTTACTCACCGAATTTTATATGATACCATTAAGGATAAAAATACTGAAGTGCGTAGGCAGTGATAGAAATTAGCCAAACGCTTAGTTTGGCAAGAGACTATTCGATTTTATTACTCAGTAGGCTACACAAAAAACAATTCTCCTATACTTTTACTCCTGCTTCTCTCTCGAATTCGACATCGTTTTATATTCCCAACTGTAAAATCTATAATTCTGTAGTTTGTTCAAGAGTTTTCAATGTAGTTACTTTAAGATTCGATTAAACTCAAATTAAAACTTTTATTTTGGAATTTCAATAATACACATTAACATATATTGTTTGCTTTCACCATTGTTTTCTTTATTTCTGTTTTCCAGTTATTTGGCCTCACATTGAATTTTTCATATACGAGTTTAAATCAAATTTCAGAGCGCATCAAAACAACAGGATTTCATTTGAATACAAGCCCTTCTGTTGAATTCTCTGTAGCCGTGCACATACATGCCTACATGAATAATATTCTTTCAGTGTGGATATTTCTTTTGTCGATTGTGCCTCTTCAGTAAATAGAAATGCATCAATGCGATCAACTATTGATGTTGGTTATGTTGGTTATGTAGTCATATGTGGAAATAAAATTACCATGTGAGAGAATAAAATATATATTTTTCTTTACTTATTGAAGCGCCATAACGATGCGGTATATGTTTGTATTGATAAACGTCTTGTTTATTCAGAATAATTTTATGTTTCCGCCTGATGGTGAGTTGATATATACATCGCTTAATCAAAGCGCAGGTCGTCTGTTTTAAAATACATTATATCTATGCATAGCAAGCGCTAATAGTTTTCATTGCTTAATTCTCGCCGTCTTTAAGGGAATAAAAACACTGAAATCAAACGAACTTCAGAAATTTCAAACGTAATGTTGTTCTTTAGATGGATGGAATTGTTCGAAAGGTATGGCGCTTTCTTCATTGCGAACACTTTCGAATTCCGAGTTTTGTTGAACTAATCAAAACTATTAAAATCCGAGAAAGGCCTGAACCTTATACAAGTATTTTGCCTTATATGTTATACGCGGGAAAGGTTTAAGTAGGCGTGATTCACAACCAAACAACTTATAGCATAGAATGGAACAAACTGTTGTCTGTAGTCGAGTTGAGATGTTCCCTTTTTGGCGTCGACTTCTATAATCACTATTACTGTATATACATATGTGAAAAGTCAGTTAGAGTTTCAAAAACTGCGTAATTTACTAAAAAGAATGTTCATAAGACAAGAACAAGCTGCACATAGTCTAACTGCGTTATCAACATCTTCCTTTTCTTTTATTTTCTTGAAGTTGACAATAGGGTGCAGCGTTTGACAGAAGGCGTATTGTGCGTATATCAGGTGGGTGCTTAGTATATCAATACGTCAAGAAAAATAAAACTGTGCCTAAATGTGGACAGTGTAAAGAGAAATTAAAGAGTATTCGCCCTACACGCCCCTGTGAACGTAGTCGACTGTCTAAACGTCAAAAAACTGTCGCCCGTACGTACGGTGGTGTTCTTCGCCACGGTTGTTTACGCGAACGCATCGTTCGTGCTTTTGTTATCGAAGAACAGAAAATAGTCAAGGCTTTGAAAAGCCAACGCGAAATAATGGTTAAACCCGTCAAACCTGTGAAGGCTGCAGAAAAGAAGCCGAGTAAAACAGCTGGTGCTGCCAAAACAGCATCTAAATCGGCCACAAAAAAGCCAGCTCAGAAATCAACCGGTAAAACGAAGAAGTGAAAAGAATTTTGGTTTTGTTCGTTAGAATATTTTCTGGGATAATTTATGTTTTTTATTATTTAATAATAATAAAAAGAAATAAGTACGCGAAAGAGTTTAATGATAAAACAAATACTAACAACCTGTATACATATTCGAGAAGCAATCCGATGCTTAATTCAATATCCATTTCATGGTTCAATTTAATACTCACTTTCCTATTTATATCAACATTCCATTTAGTAATCAATTCCACATTTAGTTCAATGTTTAATAGAATCTTTAATTTAGAATTCAGTTTATCCAATACTCGTTCTACTTTCTGAGTTAAATTCGTGCAAGTGTATGTAACTTGCACGATAAATTCATAATTTATTGCATCAAATGTATCCTCATTTTCTGAACTGATTTAAGTCTGTCTGTCCGTCGGTCCGTGTATTGTGTATGTTCTACAGGCAGTTATGTTCGAGATATTTCGTTTAACGTTAATGCAATGTCAAAGCTCTAATCGAAGGTAGATGGGCTTTATTGGGGAAATGGGTCCGTCCTTCTAATAATGCACACTATACCAATGTGAAATATTTATATGGGATGAACCAGTCAATGCCAACATATTGATAAGTCTAACTAAACTATTTATTTGACATACATACTTCTGTGTTATGGAGTAAGGTATTTAATATCTAATTTTCGTTTGTATGCTATAGTGCTTTAATTTATTGTAATAATCAATTCACTATCCAAATCATCCTTCCATTCCGTACTCAATTTATTACGCAATTCGATATTTCATTCAATACTCAATTCTATGTTTAGCTTAATGGCCATTTGAATATTTCATTGAATGTCTGACCCCAATAGTTGGTTTTAATTTTCGCTGAAAATAGTGTTTAATATTTAGTTCGATATTGATTATACTCTACGTATATGCTAAGTTTGTGCAGATGTACGTAACTTGAGATAAATTTATCTTTTATTAAACAGAATTCGTTTCATTTTTCCGACCGTTTTAAGTCTGTCTGCACGGGTATCTATCTAATACCGGTATATTTCAATCAATTTTGTTATATGGGGGCGCTTTAAACCAATAAAAAAAAGCCAGTTGAATGTGGTTTGGATCTGAACATCTGTACAATTCCGAAATTCTCGTATAACGACGTATATTGAATAAGTCGGAGACAAAAATCATATTCCGTTACATATCAACGTACTTACAAAACATGTAAAAACACTGCAGTTGTCCCCGACCCGGGAATAAATATCCTACACCGCTCTACAATTATTCATATAATGAATGATCTTTCAAAATAAGGCTTTATAAGAGAAAAGGATGAAGGGAGGAACCAATCCGAGTTATTTTCAGTAGCATTCATCGTAGGACTAAAACACGTTAGTGTACCAAATTTAATTAAATATCTCAAAAATCATGATCTGTTATTACGTTGTTGAGATATTAAGTGGTCCCAGATGTCGCATACATCTACACAAACTCAATATATTGTTGTGCTACAAGTGGTTTAGGCTATACAAATATGCATATGACAAGGTAGAATTTTTACTATTTGACGATGAAAATGTATCTATTATTATTGTTAATATCATTAATTTAACCAGAGAGTAATAAAGTCTTAAACTACTAGGATCTAAGGCTGTTGGCTTTATTGAGTACTCTATCACACTTGAGATTTGAAAATGTGCCCAAAGTAATCGTTTGGTATATAAATTTACTGTACTTGTTCTGCTATTGCGTTTTAATTCAGTATCGAATTCAATCTTCAATTGAATACCCAATTTGCTATTCAATTCAATATCCAATTCAATATTTGATTCAGTAATGAATTCAATTAAAAGTATCTGTTGCTGTGTAGCAGTTGCCTCTGCAATTGAAGTAAATATTTGCAATCGTTCGGCATTGTTATGCAGTCAGTACTACATCTTGTTGTTAAACAGTAATTACTTACTCTTCAGTCAACCCTGAGATGGATGTTACCGACCTCATTAGAATTGAAATTCTGACTAGAATTTTTATTAGACATTCTAATATTAATAAATATGAAAAATAGCCCTTGCACGTGACCTGAGTACAGAATAAAAAAAAAAATAATTATTTTTAAATTGTTTGCATATTGAGTGAAATCTGGAGGAAATCGCTTCACTACTTAAAGTTAGATTTGTGATTATCTCTCCAAGATTATGAGATATTATTACGTATCATTTCCAGTGAGGGGTACAGAAGCGTGCGCAATACCTTAGATGAACGACGAAGGTACGGACTTAAGCCGCCTTAATTAGATTAGATAAAATTAATTATTTGTCCTCCTCTCTCTTTCCCTTTCTCCTTCTTCACTCATTTATTCATAAATTATGTATGTATGTATTCTTTTTTTGTGTTATTTAGATTAATTTACAATTTTCAACTTGAGTTTGCGGAAGAGTTAGAAAACACTTGAAGGTATTATGTGAATTATAAGAAAATCACTACATATAGTGTGTTATTGTGCTTGTAGCACAATCTTTAAAGAAAATTGGCATATTTTGAATTGTGCACTTATGCCTTTTAGGTTCAAATAAACAGATTTTATGAAAATATTCAAGTGCAAGGAATTTTTACCTTAAGAGTACCGGCAGGCAAAAAGCAAGATATTTATAATACTCAAATAAAGAGAGAAAATTTAAGCAATATTTCAGAATTTGAATTGTTCAAGATTACAAATATTTTCAGTTTAAAACAGAGATGCAGGTATTGTTACAATAGAAGTGGCTTTTATCTACGTTTGTACGGAAAGGCAAATAATTCAAATGCAAAATGCGTACAAATTCCAACAAATATTTCATGTATGAGTACAACCTACGTTATACGTGTAAATGTTTCTGTTTATGTATATTTGTGTCTGTATGAACTAAAGGATATATTTTCATATGCGGAATTTGCGAAGCATATTTTCTTGAATTCAATTGTCAAAGGAAATCATATTTTTTTTAAAATGTAATGTACGCACATGTATGTGTTTCATGTTAACATTCATCGATAATATGTTATAGTACGTGACGTTACGTACGGGTATCAGAAAGTTTACAAGCCATCATCTACCATAATGCGCATATGACACGTGCTTACAAGTCTTAAAAAATATTGATATCTACGCATATATATACATGTATATCCATATATATTTATTAAATGTATAGAATATATGTAAATTCATATGCAAATTTCAAGAAAGCCCAAAAAGACACGAATTCTTAAGTAAACAACTTGTAGTGAAAGAAAAAAATTTCATCATTGCCTTTACCGGTCGTTTCCTCCTTCTCTTATTCCTCTTTCAAACAATATATGTTAACTGACTTTTTAACTTTACTAACTATATTTGAATTTATTTTGAGAAGAAGAGATAATTTACTTACATATATAACACGTATGAATATAGCCAAAAGGAAAAGTTTTAGCTTGTGCACAAGGCGAATTTTATGCGCACTTCTTTTGAGCTTGAAAAAATATAACATTAATAGCAAATATGTGCGAAATATGTCTTCTATGAAAAACTAAGGAATATGAAAATGTAACTAGTTATGTAACCTACAATCTTGATCGGGACCCATGTAGAGTTTGATTAGTTTAAAATTCTAACTTGATTTAAATCTGTCTGCCTAAATCCATGTCATGTAACATCGTTTCATCCAAGAAATCAAAACGTATAATGGCCCCTTATGACGTCTAACTAAGAATAAAATTAATACGATATCTAAAATATGTTGGATTTTCGAACATAAATATTGAGAATCAATTACAGAGCGTAAGACGATATATTCTCAATGATATGGTGTTTTTGGGAATTTCTGCCACTACGTGCCGTAACTCTGCTCGATTGTGTATCGAAGGCGAAATTTTTAAGAGGAATATTAAAACTGAACATAGGAAAATCGCATATAAACCTTGTTCTCACGGTAAGTGAAAATTATAAAACTTAACTGCAAGAAGGGGCGTGATACACTTGCAAACATGTACCGCGCTGGCAAGCTATTAGAGATATTGATCTTAAAATTTGTACGAATATTTCTATTGTCATGCCTTGCGGTGTAATAAAAATTCGCTTTAAGGCGAATAAAATTTTCTTCCTTGTTCATTGGATATGTATGCATAAAGGTAGTTATACATATTTTTCATTGCGTACATAAGTAATCGTTACATCACATAAGAGATCTCTTAGACGTTATAAATATATGCAACAAATAGTTGCGACATATTTTACATTCGGATCCTTTAGTAAATTATTGGATTAGTTTGTTGATGTTGTCGAATCAATCCTTTGCTGTAAGGGTAGTCGTCATGTCTTCTAAATTGTAGATTATCTTAAGACATGAAATTCGTAAAATGTATTACTAATTGAATTTTACAGAAAAAAAAAAAAAAAAGAGAAAAGAGGATAAGAATTCTTTTTCAGAGGATATAAACAAGATGCTATGTAGCTATTTAGCATATTTTATGATTGTTTCTAGCAGTAAATTCCCTATGATTATCTTTATTCAAAGTCCTCGAGCGTTTGTAGATGAATTAAGTAGCTTTTGCATTAAACTTATCAACATAGTATTTGAGAGAAAGTGATATATATTAAACGCTTTCTACGTGTGATCTACGGACACCTTAAATTTATTAAATGGATTAAATTGCATATATATGTATTGACTTAAGGATACGAGTAATAATTTTTGTCTGAAAAAGTATATTATTATACATAGAAATTATTTTTCAAAAAATCTCTTCAATAAGTGAACTAAAAGGAGGAAAGTAAATTTCGTATTAGTCGTTTTTATGTGGAAATGCATGAAAACTTAAGATTTTCTCTTTGCGTGTGACTAATAATCACTCAGGGTATGCCTCGTAAGCGTGTAATATGGTGATGATTACAAAAAATTGTGGGGAGAGCTAGGGAGTGAGTGCTGTTGGCAAATATATGCCTGATCGGTAAATGCTCTACCTGTACGAGCCGGGCACTCAGTACAGCTACGGTCACACAGTATCA